AACAAAGGGCGATGGCATAATGTAAGTCTATTTACCAAATACTAACTTCACATGGTTAAAGACTAAACAACTGTTTAGCAGTATTGACAGCAACCGAATGAATTTACTAAGTGAAATGATTAATCTATCTATATTATATGTAAAATATTATATTGAATTTAAATTACGAGTAAATTTAACATCAATTTAAATATGAAAATGATTAATTAACTAATAATAATACAAAAATTTTAAAATAAAGATTAAGAAAACTAATCATCGGTGGTTGATTTTTCATTTGTGGTCGTGAATAATTGTGAGAGGGTGGCTGTGAGAGATGGAGATAGAGGGGGTCGCCGGAGATGGGGACGGATGTCGCCAGAGAGAGTGAGAGATGGAGATGAGACTGAGTTGCGATTTAGGGGTTTAGGTTATGAGTTGTGATTTAGGGGATACACCCAAAACATTTATGTTGTGAAATTAAAAGTTTATTTGCGAAATTTAAATTCACGTTGCAAATTCGAAAACGAGTTGCGAAAACGAAACTCATGTTGCGAATTTAAAAATCGAGTTGCGAAAAAGAAATTCGTATTGCGAAAAAGAAATTCGTATTGCGAAATTGTCAAATTCGAGTTGAGAATTCGACTTCTGTGTGCGAATTCCAAATTCTTTGTTGCGAATTCGGAGACTGTGTTGCGAAATTGGCTTTCATATTGCGAATTCGTTGGTTAAAATAATATATTATAAGGTATTTTCGGTCACTCAAGTTATTTTCTCTTTTTTTTTATCTAGAACCAAATATTCTTTTAGGTTTAATTATTTTAAATACCACCAATTTTTATGTACTGACTCGTTTATACCACTAACGTTTTAATTTTTCTAATTTTAACTCTAACGTTTTCATTTAAGTACAATTATACCACTCCGCCATTAATGGTTTAACGAAAAAATGACATGACAACGACATGTCGTGACGTCACTGACGTGGGTGCCTCATCTAAACGACGTCGTTTTGATGTTTCTATTTTAGTGCTCAGAAGACCCAAAATGACGTCGTTTTGCTTGAACCCTAATTTTCTTAGGGACTAAACTCAAAATTTTCTAATTATTTTTTCCCTGTTCTTCCTCCTCATCTTCATCTCCATCTCCTTTTCCATGATATTCTTAGCAAGCAAACGAAAGGGAGCAATGAGGCCATGTTTGTGATCGAAGCATACAAGACCTTAAGAGATAAGGGTCCTTACCCTGCTGATTAGGTCGTGAAGGATCTCGATGGAAGCTTTGCCTTTGTCATATAAGACAACAAGACCGGGACTGTGTTTGCCGCTCTGGTAATTAAAATCAAAACTCATCATCACCCCAAGTTGAAATCTTGGAAATTTGAACCGAATGGTATACTTAAAAAACAACAAGTTTTGATTTTTATTTTCAGGACTCAGATGGTGGAGTCAAGCTGTACTGGGGAATTGCAGCTGATGGATCTGTGGTGATATCAGATGATTTGGAGGTTATCAAATAAGGGTGTGCCAAATGCTTTACCCCATTCCCAAAAGATACCCTAAAATTTGAAACTAATTGGACTGATTGTGGTTCCCGTTAATAACATGGAAAACTACACATAAAAATAGTGACATGCCATGGATGTGCTGTTCTTTCAAAACTTTAAACAAACACTAGGGTTTCTTTTGTTTTTATTATAAAGTTTTTTTTCCTTTTCGGTTTGGTACTTTTGTAGAGAGAAGAGAAATTGAGGTGGTTAAAATATATATCAGCCCTTCAGTTCGGTTGCCAAGAAAACTATGGAAAATGAGATACAGATGAGGATGAAGATGAAGAAAGAAAAAAAATAATGAGAAAATTTAAATTTAATCTTTAAGAAAATTAGGATTCAAGCAAAACGGAGTCATTTTTGGTCATTTGAGAGCTAAAACAGAAACATCAAAATGACATCGTTTAGATGAGACATCCACGTCAGCGACGTTACGGCATGCCGTTGCCATGTCAGTTTCTCGTTAAACCATTAACGTCGGAGTGACATAATTACACTTAAAGATAAACATTAGTGATAAAATTGGTAAAATTAAAACGTTTTTGGTATAAACGAGTCATCACTTATAGGTTGGTGATATTTGAAGTAGTTAACCCTTTATTTTAAAAGAAAACTAAATATTTTCTTCCCAATTTCAATTTAAATTTCCTATGTAATATATCAGTTTTATTAATTTTAAATGGGCAGAAAATAATTAAAGTATTATTTTGATTAAAATTTTAATATATTATAATTTATTCAGTTAAGATTATTTTGTATCGATTCATACAAATTTATACAATATCTTATATTTTAAAATATTTTTAATTTTTAATCATAATTATTTTCAGTTTTTCATAATTATATTTAGTAATACAATATAAGCATTTAATTCATTTATTTAATTTAAGTAATAATATTAGAATTTATATTTTAATATAAATGTATTTCACATTAGCTTAATCAAAAAAATAATATAAATATATTTATATATAGTTAAGGTGTAATTAAATCCATCAACAATCGGATGATCGAGTAAGATGAGACATTAAATTCATTAAGTAAGGTTAAAGATTTGAATCATAACGATTGTGTACGAAGCAAACTAGGTTGAGAGGTTTGTCTCATAATGGGTCTCTACAAAACCTTCCGGATTAATCAATCAATAGATTAGATATCAATTGTTAATTCAAAAAAATGTATAATTTGATCCCTTAAGAAATGCCAGATGGCTGAATCCTAGCATTTGCGAATGGAGCAAATTAAATTGGGAAGATCGTCCGTGCCTTTGTCATACCCGATTTGGATTAATCGATCAATATATTAGATACTGATAATTATAAAAAAATATTCATTAGAAAATTATAACAACACACCAAATACACAAAATACCTATGTATGAATACCAAAAGAATAATACACTTAATACACTAGGTAAGACGACATTGGCTACTTTAATTTTAATAGTCAAGTGAAATAATTTATATAATAATATAAATAGTTATATGTTTTTATAAATAAAAATTCAAATTGATATAAGGGATAATCGACCAGCGGTAGATGGGTTTAGTCCGCCTCCTGCCTCGAAGATTATTATTTTTCTATTGAGTAAAGTATATAGATGATCCTTCAATTATAAGATACTACCGTGTTTAGTTCCTTAATTATTAAAAATTATAAATTGATCATTCATTTGGAGTACGTTCTTTTGTTGAGTCTCTCGATTATTAGAAGTTACAAATGGTCACTTGATTATTCATATGCACCAAACTAGTCTCTTTTCATAAAAAATTTGACGACAATCCGAGTTGGATATTAACTTGCTAATTGTGATATAATAAAGTCTAATTCTAGAATCATAAACGATTATCTTATTCCAGTAAATATCCAACTTTGATGACCTTTAATTTTTAATGAAAAATGAGAAGTTTAAAATATATGAATATTTGAGTGACCATTTTGTAAAACTTAATAGTCGATGGACTCAATAAAATAATGTCCTATAGTTGATGAATCATTTTATAATTTTTAATTATAGATAGATTCAACAAAATATCGTCTTATAGTTGAAAAAATATTTGTGTATTCTTTATTTTTAATTACACGTGGCGAATATTAGTGGTTAGTTTTTTTTTTTGCCCTCCCGATTCCAAGGTTTCGCCTTGACTAATGGACCAGCCCGCGTCGCACATCTGGCTTTGATGGGTGAGTTTCCGAGCAGGAATTCTTTGCATACACAAGGACTTAAACTTGAGACCTTACTTAAGCGATATCAAACTGTTTACCACTTAAATTAACTTCGGTTTAGTGGTTAGTTTTTTAACGGCTTGTAATGTTGCTAAAGCCTGGTACATCACAGTTTTTGGAAAAATGGACATAGGGTGATGCCAAGTTGCCCATTCAGAACAAGTAGTGCGTGCTGAAAACGAATTGATTTTCTTGGGCAATATTATCAGTTGAATTCTTTTTGGTTTATCAGTTGGAAAAAATGAAGGGAAAAAAACTAAAATGCATTAAAATATTATGTTATAACTATTTTAATAGAATTTTATATCATTATTATATTTTTTGGCTTTGAAATATACATAAACATTAATTATTGAATTTGTATGAGAAAAATTAAAAAGAAATTTTATGAGATCTAGATTCAGAGTCCAAATTAGTTTTAAGTCTATAAATAAATTGATTTTCTCCTTACATGCCAATACAAGAAATTCTAATTTGTTTTTAATTTTTTGATAATAAATTATTTTTATGAAATTAGTTTTAACTGGTCAAATAAATGTTACCAAAAAAAACTCCAATGTCACCTTAACTATTTTATAAAAGCTGAATCATTAAATGCAATAACTAGTTTATGCTTCAAACAACTCCAATTAGGGATGGATATAGGAACTAAATTCTATGGTTTTGATTTGATTGTATTTTGTTAGGTTGGATTTTTTTAAAATAAACTCGGATCTGAATATAAAAAAATAATATAATTATATCTTATATGTTTAGAGATAATTGTAATGATATCTCTCTTTATATTATTTTTCAATTAGATCTATATTTTATCAAATAAAATTAAGAATTATATATATATTTAAGTTAGGTCGGGTTGATTGTGGATTTTTATCTCAAAAGGTAGATCAAATTTTGGATGAGTAAGTTACTCTAAACCCGAATTAGATTAGGTGAAGTTGACCGGAAACTCGACTCATCTCTGGCCATACCCATCCCTAGCTCCAATCTCCATACTTTCTTACGCTTCCATTTTCAATTGTCTTGGTTTGAGTGACAACATGATTCGGTTCTATTTTGCTTCATAAGTTATAGTTTATGATATTTAAAAATGTTTGTTGACAAGCCAAATTAATGGCATGTACCAGTAGTTTAATTGGCCAGCGTTTTGAAAGCCATCAGATGCAAATGGAAAAGATTGAATGCTTTTAAGTTTGGATTTTGGATAAAGTAGATCGAAAAGTGATCTTCTAACCAGCAACAACAAGCAGACAATATTACAAAGAAACATGAAGCAAACAGATAGGATCTAAGAAAGAACCAGAATAGAGCGATAAATTTGCAGCAAGAGATCATGCAGATTAAACGAAGAAATTAATTTACCATTTGGCAATGAAAAGATCAGTAACCGGCAAGTCCATCTTCAGTGGTGGCAATGGAAGGCGTAACCGTAACCGAATCGCGCGATTCGTCGTAATCTTCCCCTAGAGGTGACTGTTCCACTCTAATATCCTCGATCATTTTAGCCACTTCCGCCATCGAAGGCCGCTTTTCGGGCTGAGGAACCACACAGGCCAATCCCACATGAAGCATTGAAACCAGTTCCTCCTCAATGTTTTTGTACCTCAAAAGCTCCTGATCAAACACTTCTGCCGTCCACTCTTCTTTAACGACAGACCGAACCCATTTCGGAAGATCAACCGCCGATTCTTCGTCCTCAACTCGAGGCTGTGTTGGTGAAGGATGATGTGAAGGAGCTCTCCCTGTAAGCACTTCCAACAACAAGACCCCAAAGCTATAAACATCAGCCATCTGAGACAGTCTCTTCACTTCAGCTTGCTCAGGAGCCCGATATGCACCCAATCTTGCTATAGCATGAACAGGGTTTAAAAGCAAAGACAACCCAAAATCAGAAATCAAAGCAACCCCATTCTTGTCGAGAAGCACATTGGAAGATTTCACGTTTCCATGTGGTATTTTTGGTGCGCTGTACTCTTCATGAATCCTTGCTAATCCTCGGGCTGCGCCTAACATCAGGCTGATCCTTGTAGTCCAATCCAATGGAATCCTCCCCGGTCCTCTGTTTCCTGTTTGCAAACATGAAAACATAAAAGAATCACGCATTTACACTACGCTGAATGCATTTAAATGAGAGCTTTACCATGAAGAAGTGAATGCAGGCTTCCATTAGGGAGATAATCATAAACAAGAAGCTTCTCCTCCTTGGCATAATAGTAAGCCCTCAGCTTCACAACATTTGGATGCTTAACATTCCCAATCACATCCATGTACTGTTCAAACTCTTTCCTGGGACATGGATTCGCATCTTTAAGCCTCTTGACGGCGACAGTGCACCCATCATCAAGAACTGCTTTGTAAACTGTTCCCAAACTCCCTTTCCCAAGCATTTCTGCTGAAGCTCTCAACAAATCCTCCAACTCAAACTGTTTCCTTCTCTCGAAAAACACAAGCTTGCTCCTAACCGTTCCGTTGGTTCCATCGCTGTCAGGCTCGGCTCCACCATTTGCGTGCACTTTCTTTTCACTCCCATAGCTACTTCCACTCCTCCTGTTTCCACCGTCACTACCAGCTTTCCAAACAATCTCTCCACTGTTTCTCCCACAGAAATAAGCCACTGCAAAAGAAACTAACACAAAAAATACCACACAACTCGCTAGTACAATTGCAGCTATACCACCGGGGCTTAACCCTTTACGTGCCTTGCTTTTGTCTTGTTCGATGATGGGTGTCCTCGGCATTGAACTCGGGTTCGATTGAACGGTCTGGGTCGATGAATCCTCCGGTTTAGACCGTATAAAGGAACAAACCGGCAATGGCTTTGGGCCGCAGAGCCCTTCATTTCCTATAAAGCTTTTTTCACTGAATTTCTTCAGTAAATTTCCGGACAACCTCCCGTAAAACTCATTGTTGGTCAAATTAAGCTCTTTTAAGTTTCGTAGGGAAGAAGAAAAATCTGGGATTTGGCCAGTTAATGCATTGTTTTGGAGCCGTAGAGTGATGAGGCGTTTCAAACCGGAGATTTCTCGAGGAATGTTGCCTCGTATATTGTTGTTGGATAAGTCCAGGCGGAGCAGGCGATTGAGAAGCGATATTTGCGGGGGGATGTCGCTTGAGAAATCATTATCGGAAAGGTAAACGAGTTTAAGGTTGGAACAGTTAGTCAATGGTGAAACGGTTCCGTTCAAGCGGTTGTTTTGGAGGTCAAGGATTCGAAGTTGGTCGAGGAGGGAAAGGGCGGTGATGGGACCACGGAGGGAGAGGGAAGAGAGCGAAAGGGCGGTGACTCGACCCGTGGAGGAGCAAACAACGCCGCGCCAGGCGGAGGAACAGGCGTCGCGGCCGGTCCAGTTGGTGATGAGGCTGCCGTGAGTGTCGGCTTGGCGGCGAAAGAGAGTGAGGGCATCGGTGTCGTTGGAGGAGAAGGAAAGAGGAAGAAGAGAAAGGAAAAGTGTGGAAAGAACGAAAAAGAATGGGGGAGAGGAACTCATTGTTTGGTTTCTTTGAGCGGGAAGAAAGTTCAGAAGTCAGGAGTGTTTTTAAAAATAAATAAATAAACACTCCTCGAAGTGCAGTCTATTTCTAAGAATGAATATGTGAATTTTTTCATGGTATGATATAAAACTTAGCCCATAATATTTATTAAAATAATTATTTGATTTTTAACTTTTTATTAATTGAATCTTTTAATATTTTATTTAATGGTCAAAGAACTCATAATATTTGATTGAATAATTATTTTAATTTTTTTTAAAATATTTTAACATTTAACGTTTTATTTTAAGATAAAAAAATCTCTATTTTATAGAGTTAATTGTTTGTTAACTAATACTAGTTTTTATCCACTTAAGAGCATTTTTATTCTAAAATAAAAAATTATGATCAAAATACTCTAAGAAAAAAAAGACTAAAGTAATTATTTAATCAAATGATGAGGATATATTTTGACATTATTATTATTTTAAATGAACGAGAGAGATTTGTTTTACGATATTAATGGACGATTAAAGAAGGGAATGGAGGTGGGTTTTTTCGTAACTTCAAGTAGGTTATCCAATCAATACTAATTAAATCGTGAAATATTATATTATAAGTATTTCTTTTGGATAAATTATAAATTTTTCACTCCCCTTGTTCTTATTCTTATTTTAATCATTAAAGGTTTTTCAAATTATCATTAAACTTTCAAATGGCTTTTATTATGATTCTCTGAGTCCCAAATCCTACAGATAAATTATTCTATCGGCCACTTCCCTTAATAATCCATGCAAATACATGGGAATATGATATGATTGAAGGTAAGAAAAGAGAGTGTGAGTTAGGGTGTTGGTTGTCCTAATGATTGCTGCTCTCCACTCCATGGAATGGAATGAGTAAAAAGCTTACAAATTCAGATTGCATGCTTCGGATTCTAAAACTATTTTTCTGATAAGGATTCTAATTATTTAGTATATAATACAACAAAGATAAAAGCAGACGGACTAAGATTTTATACATGGACTTCACTAAACAAAATTAAATATACACCATAATTAAATTTTACTTTAAAGTCCACACGATAATCACTTGCAGATAACACAAGTGGGGTGCCTCTCATCAGATGAACTTTTCTGTTCAACTTATGCTCCGAAAGAGAAATACCCTTTTGATTATTTCTCTCACCGTATGATACCAAATCTCCTGTTTTGACCTTTGGAAACTACTGCATAATAATAGGCACCCATTGACAAATCTACTACTTCTCAATCATTTTCAAAAGCTTACCTCTCGTTTGTATGTAATGGATAATGCTATTCTCAATATGTAATCGTCTATATATAGACAAACTGTTCCGTTTGAAATTTCTTGGCAACATTTGGGGTTAAAATTTCAAACCAAATGCATACAAAATTCACCCAAATCTTCATACTTCACCAGCTTGAACTATGGACAATAGCCACGTTAATATTCAAATACAAAAAGATTTGAATATTTGAATCAATACAAAAGAATGTATCTAGTATACGACATAAAATAGAATTTACCTATAATACAAATTTTAATTGATCCGTTTTAAAAAAAAAAATATTCGAACCTAAAATAATGTAACTCGAACGGATGGTTTAATCTTGATCTATTTTTTTTCATGGGAAAAAAAGAACATGAGAGTTTAATGAAAGATGGTCCCTTGGTTTACTTTAGGTGATAAGGAAAAAGGTTGCAACTTTAAGTCATAAGAAAGCAAAGCTTGTAACTTTAAGATTTTACATCGGAGGATGAGCTAATGGTCATGGAAGGTGAGGGATAGACTGAGAGGGATAGGTGGGGATAGTCACCCGTTTGAAAAATTAAAATTATCTTATATTTTAAATTTTTTATGTATTTTTTTTAAATTTATTCTCGTACTCTTAAAATTTTATAAATTCATGTTTATCTTTATGAATTTTAAAAAACTTCAAGTTCGCCCTCTTAATACAAAATCCTATGGAAAGTGAAAATAAACAAAAGCCAAAACATGACTCAACTCTTCTCCTAATACCCATTTATGTTACTGCCATCCATATGTCTGTGCATCATCTTAGCGAGTGAGTAAAAGGCATAGAAATCAGTTATTTTGATGCTTGGAAAGCACAAAGGTGCTCACACATTCCTAATTCTTTTCAACAAACGAAGTTTCCCTATTGATTTGAAAAGATCAATTGTTAATTTTTTAATAAAAAAACACATATCTATATACACAATTATTCAAATTCATAACATCTTGATGCGTTTAAATAACCCGAGTTAATTCAGACCATTTTCAAAACCAGCTAAAGAAATAGTTGATTCTATTACGGATTATATATGAAGCTCTTTGTACAAAGAAATAATATGAAACAAAAACGTAAAAAAATCAAAATCATTTAAATTAATTATCCTGTCGGTGGGTTTTACAGGTGGTAAAGAAAAAAACACAGCAGATAGTAAAACGATCGAGTGGTGGTCGAAAAAGAACTGTATAATTGGTGGGGGGGGGGGCACATGGTGGGACCTTTGGGGTACAATAAAAACAGTGATGAATGTCGTCAAAAGAGAGGGAAACAGACAGGCTTTTTTTTTATCTTTAAAAATGACCATTAAAATAATTTTTATATAAAGAAAACATGACTAAAGGAAAAAGAAAGGAGAGATTGAAGGCGGGATTGACTGACGTCTGAATTCTGGATTTCCTCTCGTTCCACTACACTTACATATTAATGTCCCACACACCAATAACATTTCCTTTTTGTTTTTCCTTTCTAAATTATGGTTTGTGTTACGGGAGTAGGGTTGAAATTAATAGACCGTGCTGCCTTAGACACGTAAACATGAATTGTTCAGCTCAGTCCATCTTCAATTTGAATGAATAATGCCTAAAACATATTTAGAAGATATAAGAGAATGAATTGAGCGAACGAAAACAGAATAAGAGAATGCTGAAGATGAGAAGACGTTCATAGAAATTTAGATCGAATACTCGTGCTTATCTTTTTTACTCACTAAATCGATCATGATAGTTGTGGTAAGGAGTGCATCTGTTTATACTTGAGCCCTCTTATGATTCATAGTGTCCTAACCACACATAAAGAACTCTATTTACTCCTAGTAGAATTTAGAAGTCTAGCTATAAGGCAAAATTCTAACACAACTCGAAATCTATCTTCTTTTTTTCTTTAAATCTTAATCCCATTAAATTTCTATTTATTTGATGAATTAAGTCTCTCGAATGAGGGTCTTTTGGATGACAATAAACATGGTTCGATTTTTAGAAATTTTTTAATTTCAATAAACATGAATCGAACCTCTTAGTCGATCTTCAACTTGAATGAATAATGCCTAAAACATATTTAATCAACTTAAAAAGATATAATGAATTGAGTGAACGAAAATAGGATAAGAGAATGTTTAAGACGAGAAGACGTTCATAGAAATTTAGATCAAATATTCATGTTTATCTTATTTACTCACTAAATCGATCATGATAATTGTGGTAAGGAGAGCCTCTATTTATACTCACTGAATCTATCTTTTTTTACTCTCTTAAATCTCAATCCCATTAAATTTCTATTTATTTGATAAATTAAGTTTCTCGAATGTGAGTCTTTCGGATGACAATTGTCGGAACCGTCTTTCGGTTGGACCCGGAATTGGGATTTGACTTAGGAAAATGATTTTGAGTCGCCACCGAAAATTTAAAACGAATTTAGGTAGGTCGGACACCATCTTACTTGATTTGCTTTTTACCATAAACGTGTCGGGTTCGGGAGTCGGTTACGGTCAAGGAAGGATTAGCACTCTTAAACCGCCCTTGCGGCATCAATTAATTTATCGGTTGCCTTAATTACGAAAATTTAAAATTAAAATTAAAATTGAAAACATTCGATTTGAATTGTTTACCTTTGATCGGTTGGACTTTCTCAAAAAAAAGAGATCGAAAATGTTAGACACAAAAAAATGAATAAATAAATAAATAGATAAGAATAAAATAAATAAATGTTAAATCAAGAGAAAAAAATGAAAATAAAAATAAAAATAAAATAGTAAATAAAAATTAAATAAAGCAAAAAAATAAGAAAAATGAAAGAAAGAAAAAAGTCAAAGGAAAAGAATAAAATAAATAAATAATAGAATAAATAAAAAAGAAGTAAAAGAAAACGAAAAAAAGAAGAAAAATAAAATCAGAAAAAAATAATTAAATATTATTAAAAAGGTTAAATTTTAAAAGCAATAAAATAAAAAAATAAAAAAAATCAAAAATAAAATAAAGTAACAACTTAGAGGATCAAATCGAAACAAATTGAAATTAGTGGATTAAATTGGTATTAAAATGAACTGCAAAAGTAAAAGTAAAAATAAAAAGTTAGGTGCCAATTTACAAAATATAAGAAATATAAACAGGGACTAAATTGATTAAATTGGAAATATGGAGGTAAATTTTCAGATGGTGACCAAATTGAATTACGACTTGAAATGTCAGGGGCGGCGGAAGGAATTTAAGAATCTTGTATTTTCAGAATGGTCCTTGGTATATAAATACCCAAAATTCTCTATTCTCTCTTCATTCTCACCATTTCCTTCAAAACGATATCTCTCTCAACTCTCTCACTCTCTCAAACCCCCTCTTCTCGGTCACATGCAAGCCACCGCCCGGTGGCCTCTCCGCCACGCTGGCCACCGCGCTGACTGTCGCCGACGGCGGTCGAGCAAACCCAAAACACTCATCTTACCCTCGAGATCCCGGATCCGAACTCCAAAACATAAAAACTTAACCCCCTTGGCGTAGATCTAACGAAGACCCCCTCGATTTTTACCTCTCTTTGACGAGCCTTTCGACTTCCAGAGGCTCTTTGTATGTTGCTTCGGCTTGTGATTTTTGCTTGTATTTCCCTGCTTGTGTGTTGCTTGACTATTTGACTCTTTTGTGTTTTTTCTGTTGTGTTTGGTTCGATCGTTGTGTTTGGTTCGATCGATGTTCTGTGTTTTTTGTGGCTCTCGGTATACTGTTGATGATATGCTTTTTG